ATCATGTTTCATATCAAAATGGTTTTATCCACTTTGATATGAAACATGATGTTTAAATTTTGATATTTACGTGAAATACATAATAGTAACAGAAACATATTGTACAGGTTGACCTCGTACAACATGGGGACTAAATTGGGACTACTACTTGTCCCAAAAATCCCGAAGTAGTCTCGAAAATCCTGAAGAAGTCTCGAAAATTCCGAATTAGTGCCGCTGATCCCGAAAATCTCAAAGTAGTCTCGAAAATTTGAATTAGTCCCGAGAATCCCGAAATAGCCCAAAAATCCCGAAGTAGTCCCGAAGATTCCGAAAATCCTGAAGAAGTCTCGAGATTCCAAATTAGTGCCGCGGATCCCGAAAATCTCAAAGTGGTCCCGAAAATCCTGAATTAGGTCCAAAAATCCCGAAGTAGTCCCGCAGATACCGAAAATCCTGAAGAAGTCTCGAAAATTCCGAATTAGTGCCGCGGATCCCGAAAATCTCAAAGTAGTCCCGAAAAACCCGAAGAAAGTCCGAGAATCCCGAAATAGCCAAAAATCTCGAAGTAGTCCCGAAGATTCCGAAAATCCTGAAGAAGTCTCGAAAATTCCGAATTAGTGCCGCGGATCCCGAAAATCTCAAAGTAGTCTCGAAAATCCCGAATTAGTCCCGAGAATCCCGAAATAGCCCAAAAATCCCGAAGTAGTCCCGAAGATTCCGACAATCCTGAAGAAGTCTCGAAAATCCCAAAATAGTACACAAATCCCGAAATAGACTAAAAATCTTGAAGTAGTCCCGAAGATTCCGAAAATCCCGAAGAAGTCTCGAAAATCTCGAATTAGTCCCAAGGATCCCGAAGATTTTCGTGGAACTGGAAGTTGGAAGATACTTAAATATCTTATTTGCGTCGCATAACAAAAGTATTATTTATTGAAAAATTACAAATCAAATTGATTTGCTCTACAAATCAAATCAAAAATTTGTAAAAAAAAAAACTAAATCATAATCATAATTTCTTAATTGATAGCGGATTTTAAATCAATAACATGACCGTGACGTTGACGTTGCTTGTATCTCTCTATGTCTCTATCAACAGCAAATTTGATATGTTTCTTCGCACTTCTAACACTTATTTTTCTTCTTCCAGCGATAAGTGTCCGTGTCCAACAGCAACGGANCTATCAACAGCAAATTTGATATGTTTCTACGCACTTCTAACACTTATTTTTCTTCTTCCAGCGATAAGTGTCCGTGTCCAACAGCAACGGAAATTATATGAAAAATAACCCTTTCCCACTGAGAGGAGCACACATCTACAAAAAATAAACCACCTGTTCTGTTTTGTGGGTTATTTTTTACCTTAAATAGTGACGGTTATTTTGGGACGTTTTCAAAGTGTTGACGGTTATTTTCGACCTCTGGTGGTCATGAATTTCCACGCATAAATTCAAATTCTAGAGAATTGCAAGCGTATGTACGTTGTCGTTGTTTTAAGTACATTTCTTGATAAATATGAAGTGGAATTTTTGTAATATTTTCAGTCTTGTACAAAAATTTTAGTGAACGGACGTGTTGTGCGATACTATTTTCAGCACAAACGGGCTTTTACAAGATATGCGTTTGCATATGTAAGTGCTACTTTTTTNCAAAGCGAAATAAATTTTGTCCTCTTCACTCCCTGGCGGCAACAATGACTCGGTTCTATAGTGAATGCCTAGAAGCTTTACAGTATAGTAGGTGGCAATTTCAAAATGGGTGCGAATCATTGTTCTACAGAAATGCAATATACATATACCTATTTCAGACGAAATAACTTAAAAGTTTGAGCGCATAATAATATTGGAAAATCACATCCATTGGGCCAATTGCAACGCAGGAGCGTTCGATATACTCAATGGTGCAACAGGTCGATTTAATCTGACCTTCACGGCCCCTTTTCTCACTTGGCTATTTTTAGTAATAGCTCGACTTCAGCACCACTTGGCAGCACGTTTTTGCAATAGTATTGCATACATATTTAAAACATTAGCCAAATCGGATCATAAATAAGATTTTTAGTAATAACTCAACTACAGCGCCAACTGTCGGATTAAATTGTGAAACTAAACCATCCAGAGACCCACTCAAATACACAAAAAGTTTCGTTAAAATCCGTACAACCATTTAGGAGGA